TTTCTTTAATGAACAGTCATCTTTGATGTTGCGACTGCCTGGTCTTTGTTGCAAAAACCCCTGTAGATCCTGGTTCCTCCCCGACCTCTGCACAGCGGTCCCTCAGCGCCACTGACAGGCTGCGTCCGGGGCTTAAGTCCTCAGCTTTGTCCGCCAAATAAAACATAACTCTCAACTTTTAGGTTGTGCATTATTTTTCAGTCGACACCCACAATGCCTTCTCCACTGGCTCTGGACTCTCAGAGGAACTCACCAGTGGCTGCTGTGAAGGCAGCGAGCTCCCTGAGGGGACAGGAGCCCAGAGAGCTGACCCGGTCACTTCCCGGGGCGGGTTGTCATAGGAACAGGAGGAGTGAACAGCAGCTGCTAAGGCATCCGACTTGCCCTGCGTTAGACACAGTCAGCTACGCTAACCCGGCCCTTCTCCAGCGACGCTGCCCTGGAGCCGGCGTTGGCAGGAAGCCGACAACCCTGCTCTTTATGCCCTAGTGTAAGAAGCCATCGTTAGCAAGGAGAAAAACTGCCTTTGAAGCCTTTGATTTCTCCAACCCGTCTCCCTGACAGGTCAGGGTAGTAAATACTGAGTATAAACATCCAACCTCAGAGTTAAGAGCAGTCACTGCAGGATGGCAGGCTCATTCTCAAACAGCTCCGTCTTCTAACCAAATCCTCACCTGGACAGATGGTTTAACAGTCACAGCATTTCTGGCCCTCATCCCACAACTCCAGCTTTGCCTTGAGAGAAGAGCTGAACCTGACCTAAGACCCGAACGTCAGCTCAAGAAAGGCAGATTGTTGGTCTGCAGAATTGTTGGAGAGTTGCATTCTGAGACTAGGCTGTATTTGCGAAGAAAATCAGGCATTAAACCAACGGTTTACTACTCTCGGGGAAGAGCTGTCTCCTATGCAAAGAAGCATTTTCTAATTAGAGGGGACCATTTGGGAGGGGGCCGATGGGGAAGGCATCTGGCAGAGTCAGCGCCACGGAAGAGCAATAGCCTCTGGAATCAGCTGAGTCTCCCCCAGATCCGGACTGTCTCCCTGGCTGTCATGCTAGGCAGCGTATTTACTTCCCTGAGTCTCAGTTTCCTCACTGCAAAGTGAATCCATAGCATCCATCCCATCAGTGGTTTAGGAGCATTTAAGTAATAGGTCAACATAGAGGTTTCTGCTTCTGGTAACGGTCACCTACACCCCCATCGTGTCAACCTCTTTCAGATGAGGAAGGCTGTGGCCTGTGAAGCAGGACTGAAGTCAATTAAGAGAAGGTTCCAGAAGGAGGTCAGTTCTGAGATTACGCAGGTGTCAGCAGCTTTCAGCAGGGAAGAGCTCTCTGCAGGAGGCCCCTTCTGTCTTGTCACTAAACTTAAACCAGCCACCCCCATGCTCTGCTTATCTCCGACCCAAGCACACCTTTCAAATCTCTTGGTCACACAAAGCCTTGACTAATCTGTTGTTTCTTTCCGTAGATCAAGGAAGTAAAGATGAAAAATAAGTAATTAACAGATGACCAGATCTCTTCCCCAGCTTCCCCTTTCAGGAATCTTGTGAACAAACTGTGAACAACACAGCAACTGAAGAAAGACCCAAGGAGTCCACAGCCTGCACACAGTGGGGGATGGCGATGAGTCTGATTTCCTACCTCCACGATTTAACGGAGATTACGTCCCCTCTCTCCCTTTAAAAGCTTGCATGGCCGGGCAGAACCTTTGGGGTTGGTTTTGGGGATACCCAGTCCACCTTCTGCCCAGATTGCTGGCTTTCTGATTAAAAGCAATGTTTCCCATTTCCACCAAAACTTACCTTTTGAATACTGAGTTTTGAGCAGCAAGCAGCTGGACCTGAGTTCCGTAACACAGGTATTATATCCTCGGGGAGGGGAGGACATATATTACTTCCTCCCTAAGGTAGTGGCAATTGCAACCTACATACCTGAGCCCCTACTGAGCTTTCCTTTTTTTCCCATCCGCTGTGCTCAGAACCCCTTCTTCCCACTCGCTGTGTCCATTTCCGGAGCAGGCACCGTTGGGTATGGCAGAGCTATCTGTTACACAGGTTGTGGGTTAACTGTGTCCCCCAGAGATATGTTCAAGCTCTAGTTCCCGTGAATGGGACCCTATTGGAAACAGGGTCTTTGCAGATGTGATCAAGCTAGGATGAGGCTCTACTGGAGGAGGGTGGACCCTGACTCAGTGACCGGTGCCCTGATGAGAAGAGAAGGTGGAGGGAGGCACATGTGACAGTGGAATGTAGGGCTTGCCATCTTCCATGGGAAGCTGGAAAAGGCAGCAGGGATCTTGCCCCCCTCCTTCACAGGGAGTTTGGCCCCACTGCCCTTGGGACTTTGGACCTCTGGCCTCCAGACTGAGAGGGACTGTCTCCTGCTGTTTTAAGCCCCCTGTCGGGTGTTCCTTCAGGGCAGCCACAGGAAAGAACACAGTGCTGGCTATGCAGCACGTTGGGCCCCGGAGACGCCCCACGTCCAGGTTCAGTCTGGAGGCACCCTGGGGTGTGAGGTGTGACTTGTATACTGCTGGACGGTCCAGGGCTTCCTGGCTTCACCCCTTGGCCCTTCCTGCAGAATGGTGGAGGGCACGATTTGCTGGGCCAGAAACCCCCCTTTACAGCTGGAGCCGCCTTGCAAAGGCTAAAGCAAATGGTTTTCTGGTTACAATGACTCTAAGACTTGTATAAAATCGAGCCCTTGTTGGGTGTCTCTGATCTGATGGCATCTACCCCAGTCCCTGCCTTTGTAGACCCACATCAGTGACACATGCAAAGGCCAAAGCCCACCTGGCTGAGCCCAGGTCTGCAAACCTGCTTGCCCCACCTAGGAGCCCACGGCTGACCTGAGTCCACAGCCGGCCCGAGTCCCCAGCCTGGCAGCCCCAATTGTGACACATGAAGGTACAATTGTGACACATGATTTAAACCCTCAACTTCCATTTAAAAAATTCTTAGTATGTCCAGGCAATGCACAAAATGTTGTGAGTTTGACAAAGGTCAATAAACACATCGTCTCCTATGTCTGAGACAGAAACATAAATCAATGGAAACAGCACATGGCGATATGCCCTGTAATCCATGTAGTTACAAACTCCTCCAAGAGCCCTGAGGTCAGGAGACACTAACAGAATAGTGAAAGCATAAACTGAAGATGAGATATTAATTTGTTGTATTTTATCTATAAAGCTTTTATTATCCATAATTACGGACTTTTCACAAGCACATTTCTAAATGACTATAATTTTGTAAAGGCAATCTGTGAAAAAAAGAGTCATAAATAACAGATTTGGCGATTCCATAATTCTCAGAAGAAAAGTATTTCTCCACCTAAAATTAAATGGTATAAATTAAAACCTCTCAATTCAACAACTATGAATATATGAAAATGCATTTGTTGCAAACAACTTTACCTAATTTATGTTTTTAAAGCTGGCTGTGTCTGCGGTGTATGTAAAGACTGGACTGTGGGAGAGTGAGGCCAGGAGGACAGAGCCGTCTTATCCAGCGAGGGATGGGCAGGGTGGGGGCGCGATGGGCGGCCGGCCCCGTAGAGACCTCCCCACCCTGGAAGCCGGAGTTGCCAAGTATGGAGTTTCTGGAAAGCTCCTCAGGCAGCAAGGAAGAGAAACCCTGGTGCAGCCTGGCTCACATGTTTGGGTTCAATCCTGGCTTGATTCCCCCAGTCAGGGAGGCCACCTGCCAAGAGCTCACTTTCTCCCTCCCCGCTGCCGCTCTGCAGGTGCCAAGTACCCTCAAGGTGGCGACAGGCTGCAGTTCTTTTCCTCACACCCTCCCCCAGGTCCACCCAGAGAAAGGGGTCCGTCTCTTCACCCGACTGAGTGCCTGCGAGCCAGGGGCTTCCCTGTTAGTCTGCAGACACAGGGCAGGATGCCAAGTACTGATTCCATTAATTCTGTGTCTTGAATCAACAGAGAATTCAGGATTCCCTGATTGGTATGAAAATAAAGGGAACCTCATTTAAGATGGAAACCGGAAGCAGAAGGAGATGCGATCAGGCAGGTACCACTCGGGCCCTCTGCCCAACAGAAGGAATGTCCCTACTTAAGACCGGCAGGGGAGGGAAGATTTTCTCCCCGCCTGGCAACAGCCCAGCCAATGAGAGACTGTCACCACTCATCCAATGAGAAACCACCACTGCCCAGCCAATAGGAACCCCTCAGCACCCTTCATTCTCCCTTTCCTCCAATGGACTTTCCTTCAAAGCAGCTCTTTCCACTTCTCCCTTTTTCTCTATAAAATGACACGCTCCTGTCCTTTGTTTGCCCAACTTGCCTGTGGTTTTGCCGTAGATTGTATGTCCCAAGCTGCAATTCCTTTCTATTACGGAACAAAGCCATTTAGCTGGTAAAACTACTGGCCGTTTTGTTTTTAAGGTCCATGTGAGCTAGAAACAATCAGCACCCACTTCTGGAGCTGACGGTAGAGTGAGCATCTGGAGACCCTGATTTCTCAGAGGGGCAGGGGCACTGTCCCACTCCATCCACCGACGTCCAGGACACTGTCCCCCTCCGTGCAGGGCACTGTGCCCCTCTCTCTCTGGGGTCCAGGTCACTGTCCCCTTCTGTCTCCCGGAGTCCAGGTCACTGTCCCTTTCTGTCCCCGGGATCCAGGTCACTCTCCTGAGCGATAACCCCACGCCCCCAGCCCTAGGAGTTGCGGGGGGGAGAAGGCGGGGGCGCCTACTAGCCCCCAGCCCTCCGAGCTGCCATTTATGAGAGCCCGCCACATAGGAAGAACTAAAAGGTCCCTCTCGCAGCAGCTCAGGGGGAAAAAACAACGCTAGAAACTACTCGTAATTCCCTTATATTTATTTTAACACCACGGAATCTCGCGAGATTTCAGCCTGTACCGGGAACTGGAGATATCGCGAGATGGCAGGTTGCCTGCCGCTTCCGGATACAGCAGGCATCGCGATAAGTGGAGATAACGCGAGAGGACACCAGAGGACTTCTTGACCTATCCGGGCGGGGCGGGGAAGACGAAAAGGTGGTGGTGAGGCTGGGCCTTTCCGGAGGCGATGCCTTCTGCATTCTCAGTCAGCAAGTTCCCCGTCAGCATCCCCGCCGTGATCACGGTAAGTCGTTGCCTCCTTAGCCGTCAGTTCGGTCGCTGTCGGCTGGGGCCTCTCCAAATTTTCCAGCCTCCGCCGGGGAGGCCGGCGGCGCCGGACGGGAGGCGTGGGTGGGGGGGGTGCAGGGGCGGGGCCTGTACCTGAGTGGGCGCGGCGTGGCGTGGCTGGGGGGCCGGGGCGTCGGGGCGGGACGAGATTGGAGGACCTTCAGGCTGGCGGGATGCTGAGGTGCGGGGCGGTCGGGGGTCGGGGGTTTACGGGGAGAGCTGGGACCTCGTGGCGGCGAGGAGCGGGGAGGTGGGCCGTCCTGGGCTGGGCTGGGGGGTCCGGGTGGCGTGGACCCGCTGTGGGCAGAGTGGCAGGGCGCAGGCCGCTCCCCCAGCACCCGTGCCCCCGGGGGACCTGAGCCTCAAGGAGGGGGTCCGAGTTCAGGGGTGCGGACGAGCCCACCTCTAGAGTTGAGCGCACTTGCGGTCGCAGCACTGTCTGGAGAGCAGGGTGTGTCAGAAAGGCGGGAGAAAACCACACCTTGCAAGTTTGGGTAGAGCCCAGATTTCTGAGGCTGTAATCACTGCTCTGAAGAACTGGCAGCTTTGCCTCTGGGGGCGACGGAGTGCATCCCCGAACCAGGCACCACCTTCTCATCTCCCCGTGGAGGAGGGTCTTTAGATTCTCCCAGCTTGAAGTGCAGTTCTGTTCGACAAGGAGGAAAGCCTTCAGTCCTGTGTGGAGGGACAGCCAGGCACGGCCGGGTGACAGTCCCTGGACGTGGGTGCAGTGGGGGTCCCTGTTCCCCCTCCCCTCCCCGTGTCCTGTGAGGCTTGGCGGGCGCTCGGGACAGGCTCAGAGGAGAGGCAGTGTGAAGCCTAGTCCAGGGCAGGTGGACCCTGACGAGATTCTGCTGTGTGTCCTCCAGCAGACGGACTGGACGGAGCCCTGGCTCGTGGGGCTGGCTGCCTTCCATGTGCTCTGCCTGCTGCTCACCTGCTTCTCATCCCGGAGGTACAAGCTACAGGTGGGGCACTTCCTGTGCCTGGGTGAGTACAGTTCTGCGGCTCAGATCGCTGTGTGCTGTGGCAGTGCGTGTGCCTGTCCTCTCTGTAGGCTCAGTGACATGTGAATATATCTGTAAGGCCTCCCAGCTCTCCTGTCTTGTGTTCTACTTTGATTGCAGGCCACTCCCTTATATCACTTGTGGGTACTATAAAGATAAGGTACATTTTGGATATTGAATTTGAAAGGTGTCTCAAGCACATGTTGTGTTCCTGGGAGGGTGCTGAATACCAGTTACACAAACGAGAGCTGGGTTTGCTGAAACGCTGACTCTGTACAAGAGGCTCCTCTGGGGGCTTAACTGCCCTGCCTGCTCTGGGAGGGAGCGCAAACCAGGAGGGAAAGCTCTGTGGTGCAAAAATAACACATTGCCTGAGTCAGTTTTGAAGGTAAGATCTACAGCGTTTTAGAGAAGACACAGAGCTGTGAGGAATCGTTGAGAAAGATTTCACAGAGAAGGTAAAGCCATGGTAGGGGGTGTAAAGGGTGAGTAAAATCTCTTTTTCTAGGGTAAGGAGCAGATGTCTGGCCCAGGCCTGGCATCTGGGGCCGAGGCAGCCAGTGAGAGCACAGGGGCGACGGATGGAAAGGGTGGGTCAGGTGTCAGAGAAACCACATTCTGATGCTGACTAGTTAGAAGTATGTTCAGACAGGAAAGGTGGGCCAGGGCCTCAGAGGCTATGCTGGGCTCTTCATCTTGTGGACGTTGGGAAGATGCTGAAGATCTTGCTTGGAAGTTTAACAAAGTGCAGAAACTCACCTTAAATGCGATTTTTCAGTTGGCCTTGTGCAAGGTGGGAATCCAAACAAGAGGTCGTCTTAGGACAGGCGCAAAGCAGCAAAAGCCTGCACCACAGAAACAGTCCTGACGGTCAGGGATGGCTGTCACCTCATTTCTTTACGTGAGAGCCCTAGTAAGGACCGCGAGGGGCGAACAGGACAGACGGGCTCCTGAGCCTCGTAGAGCTGGGGTGGCCCCAGTGTCCACTGAGTAGCCACAGCCCTGCTGAGCATCATGGCAGGAAAGGCGGGAGCACCGTGAAACCCTGGGAGGGGCCGGACTTAAGTCACTGCCCTGACATTTAAACCGAGGGGGGAAGGATGCGGGGGAACCAGCCAGGCAGCAGGCGTTCGAGGGCCGGAAGGGACACTGCAAGCCCCGGGAATAATGTGTGCAAAGGCCCTGAGGCAGGAAGCACAAAAAAGGTGATGGCCTCATCCGCAGAGCCTTGTGCAGGGAGCCCGTACTTGAAAAGCTTTGTGAACCTGGGCGCTACGTTTGGGTTTGTTGTTTTCAAGGACGAACAGAGGGTGACTGTTTTAGGGTGGGGATGATAGATGCTGGTCTAAGTGCGTTTACACATCTGATGGCCCATTTAATTCTCACACCCACAGAAGATTCGGATGTTATTTGCTGCAGTCTTACAAATGAAGCACAGACTGGTTCACTGCTCCCCCAGCTCCTGAGTGGGGTGCATGGTGGGTGCATCATGTTGCCCTCTGGGGAGGTGGCCCCCCCTGTGCTCAGGCCTCTCTCCTCCTCTCCCATTCTCCTTTCTTTGGCTTCCTTGATGTGCGCCTCAGGGCCCAGTCGTCGAGGGAGGGGTCAAGGATTGCTCCCCCCCATTTCACCCCAGGAACCGGGGGTTTTGCACATTTTTACAAGGCTGAGGTTCCTGGCAGCCGTCCTCCCCTCCGCCAGCCCCATCTAGGCCCTGAGCAGCTCGTGGTGCTGGGCCAGGCTGCGGTCCTCCCGCCCTGGGCGGGGCTCCCCGCACTCCGGGTGGGACTGCAAGGGCAGATGGGGCTGTTCCCCCCGGCTCCTGTCCCCTTGGGTCGGTGCTCCCTCCGTGTCTTTGCCACCAGCACCACTGGGGGCTCCAGGCAGCCAGAGGGTACAGGCAGGTGGTCTTCAGCTCTGGTCTCAGGGCCCTCGGGTTCCACTGCCGGCCTTGCACCCGACGTGTGACCTGTGGGGCAGGGAGGTCGGCAGACGGCCCAATGCGGCCACTGTGGTGTCGGGGCAGGGAGCCTGGTCCCCGCGGCGATGCTCTGCTGAGGGCTGGCCTGGTCTGACCGAGACCACCGGACTCATGTGTCACCTTGGGTTTCCTTTCTGTGTAATGTTCCCTCACATTATACGTGAAATAGGAGTTACGTCTCATCCAGCGTGGCATTGTTCTGTTACATAGCGTGTTGTGAAGGATGTATGAGGTTGTGGCGGTGGACTGGTCCCCTGCCATCTCACGTGGGCTTGCTTTCTTCTCAGTGACCTTAGTCTACTGCGCGGAGTACATCAATGAAGTGGCGGCAGTGAACTGGAGGTGAACGGCCCCGGGCACGTGGACCCTGTGTGAGACCGTCCCCGTCAGCGGCAGAACACACCCAGGAAGCCCCCAGCTCTCGCTTATAAAATAGCCCTAGCCCCGTCTGCATCCCAGCCTCCTTCACGATGAGCCTTGGACGGTGGTCACCGTCGGCCCTGGAGGCCCCCCTGAACAGGAGCGCTCTTGTCCATGACGGGGAGACCGAGATCCACCCACGATTTACTTGGTCCTGAAAACGCTGGTCCCCGGTTTCCGGGACACCGGCCATTCCGTCCTCGCCTGCATGTCCTTTCCTGCTCACACGCCTGGGCAACCCACTCCATGTCCAGTGAGCCCCATAAAGTCAACCCTTCCCCTGGGCCCCCCTTCCAGAACCGCTCCAGGCCTTCTGCTCCCTCGGGGCCCACAGCTTCTGCTTCTGGCTTCTCAGGACGGGGTCCTCGCAGGTCAGGCAGGAACCCTCCGGAGGCTGGAACGAGTCAGCAGGGGAGTGCCGCAGCCTGGGGGATGACGTGGCCCGATCAGCACGCTGCCTCCCGGGTCTGCCCTCGGCACCCTGACCGCATGGGTCTCAGAGCAGAGTGACAGCCGCGCCCTCCCGGCGGCTTCAGACCCCCTGTCGTTGGGTCAGGAGCCCACCCTCGGCCCACGCATGACCCGTCCCCCCGCTTTGTCTCTTCTGCTTCTAATTAGGACGCGCAGCCTGACCACCCCTCACTGGGCTCTGTTCACTGTGGCCCCAGGGTGATGACTGTGTTGCTGAGTCAGTGACGTAAAGTTCGTGTCCTGCGCTGCCACTGAGCGGGATGCTGGGGGCAGCCTGGCCCTGCCACGCTGTGTACCCCTCTCCAGGGGCTCGGCCTGAGCTTGCATGGGGGGCGTGATGCCCCTGGAGGGTCTGGGGATCGTCCCCCACGGGGCTAGGAGGGTCACCTCGTAAAGGGACTGAGGTCGCCATCGTGTACAGGCGGGGCTCTGCCCGCACCTCGTCCTCGTGTGCGGAGGGGCTTCTGAGACAGAGTATCACGAGAACGCCGTGTTGTGACGCTCCATGATCTTTAAATCTTTCTTGAAACAGGTTGTTCTCGAAATACCAGTATTTTGACTCGAGGGGCATGTTCATCTCCATAGTGTTCTCGGCGCCCGTGCTCCTGAATGCCCTGGTCATCGTGGTACGTGTGTGCCAGAGCTTCGGGCCTCCGTCCTCCTGACACGGCCCGTGTCCACTTCTGACCGCGTCTCTGCACGGTTCTTTCCAGGTCCTGTGGGTGCGCAAGGCCCTGACCGTGATGACCGACCTGAGGGCCCTGCAGCAGAGGAGGAGGGCCAGGGGCAGGCCCAGGAGGAGTGACGCCTCGGATCTGGCCCCACGCGCTCCTGGACTGCACTTAGACCAGCCTTTAGGACAGAGTTTGCCGCACGTCCACCAGGGCACTCGCCGGGCCTGCAGGGGGTCCCGTCTCTCCAGTTAAGTTGTAAGCAAACGGAGCCGCGCACGTCGCCACGTGTCCACGGGACTCCTGTGACCGTGTGGGCTACCAGACATCCGTCCACGTGGGGATGGTGACTGAGTGAGGGACAGTGCCATGCATGCGTGGGCACCTCCGTCACCCCCATCAACTCGCATCACCTCCATCACCCCTATCATGCCCGTCACCTCCTATCACCTCCATCACCCCTGTCACCTCCACCCCCATCACCTCCATCACTCTTGTCACCTCCGTCACCCCCCCGTCACCCCTGTCAGCCCCCATCACCCCTGTCACCTCCATCACCCCTGTCACCCCATCACCTCCATCACCCCTGTTACCTCCATCACCCCCTGTCAACCCCTATCACCTGCATCACCTCCTGTCACCTCCATCACCCCCTGTCACATCCGTCACCCTGGTCTGGTCTGCATAGCGGTGGCCTCTCCATGTGGTGCTGCCACAGGACAACATGAGGGGCTGCCTTTCCTTTCATCCAGTTAGAGATGTGACGACACTCGGAGGCCCTGGGTCAGGATCCACAGAAGCAGTGGCTGGATGAGCCCCTTGAGTTGTTTTTTGGAAGGAAAGTTGCCAGTAAAAATAGTCAACATTCACCTGTTTCAACTAACAGATTTTTTTATGGCAAATACAAAGATTGATTGTATTCCTATGTTCCACCTTCTTTTTGCCCTTTGGGTGTCCTGGGACATGATGCTGTTGGTTTATCGGAGCAGGTGCACTGTTTCTCTGTGATGTCCGCTCTAAACCAGTGTCTGTGCAGGACGCTCGTGGTCTTGTCACACCTGGAGCTGCAGCTGGAGGATGACAGGTGAGCAGAGCACCTGTCTAAACACACAGCGTTCAGTAAAGAGGATGCTGTTGGCTCCTGATTTGGGTTTAAGAAAACAGTTGGTGAATAGTTAACATAATTTTAACAAGATAAGTGAAATACATTTGTCTGATTTCAAAAAGAAAAGAAAATTTGTTCATAAGAAAGCTTTAGAAGCTCAAAAGGTGACACTTTGACAGATTATGAAATTAAATCTTGAAATCCAGATATATAAAGCTTTTATAGGTAGTTATAAACTCTCAGTAGAGAAATTATTTGCTGAATTTTGACATTAGTTGTAGAAGCGAGTAGGTAGAACTTCCTAGATAAATCTACTGGAGATCTTAACCTGAAATTTTTTCCAGTCCCTCCTTGATGTCTTAAACTTCTGTATTGAACGTTTTAAAAATCGGCTTAGGGACTTCCCTGGTGGCGCAGTGGTTGAGAGTCCACCTGCCGACGCAGGGGACACGGGTTCGTGCCCCGGTCCGGGAGGATCCCACATGCCGCGGAGCGGCTGGGTCCGTGAGCCATGGCCGCTGAGCCTGCGTGTCCGGAGCCTGTGCTCCGCAACGGGCGAGGCCAGAACAGTGAGAGGCCCGCGTACCACAAACAAACAAACAAAAAATCGGCTTAAAAAACAGCATCTCATGTGAAGTCAGATTTTAAGTTTCTTGTACCTGACAGCATGCCTCATTGTGCATTTCTGGAAATTTCCAGTTCAGGGTGTCTAATGGTCTCATGGCTTCAGAAGAGTCCACTGCATCCCGAGTGATTTCCTCGGAGAGCAGGGCTGAGCTGGCCAGTGCCCTGGGAGCGCGGGTATGGTGGGAGGGGCTGAGGGCGGGATGGCTGGTCCCTTCCAGCCGTGCAGTCAGGCCGGGGCCCAGGGGACAGAATGCATGGATAGGAACATCCTGGCCTCGGCCACACAAGCCAAGGAGGTTCTGGGGCATTTTCCCTGTCCATAATTATTTGGGCTGCCTTAATATGGGACTGTGACTGAATCTCAGTTTTCCTGTGATAGTAGTGTGATAGCATTGTTAACTTCGCAGAGTTATGGTGTTAATGGCATATCAGCCTAAAGACATGACACGGGGCTTTTCGTTCACTGGTGTGTGTGGTGCAAGTTTCCGGGAACAGTTTTGTTTTCACAAACACACTTTTTAAACTGTTTTTAGTAAGTTCACATTCAGTGGCTAATTCAGTGTTAACAGATATTTTTCTCTGTCCTCCTGCTTGGGGAAATCCTACAAGCCAGAATTGTCCCCAGAGGGTTTTGGAGTGTATGAGCCTTGCTGTGTGGGGCATGACAGGAGGGGTTCACAGGGGGCCTCCTGGCCCGTTGAAGGAAAGCATATCCCCATTCCTGGTTTCCTGCGGTCCCTTCTCACCCCAGAGCTTTAGAAAAAGGGGGTGGATTTGGAGCCAGAGAAGGATGCCCGGTGACGTTTGGGCATCTGATGGAAGTTTGTGTAAGTAAATGAAACAGACCACAAAACATTTACACAACAGCTAACATCTACATGAAATAAATAAACAAAACTGTAAAGATGACAGTGTGTTTGTGACTTTTGAACTGTGTGTCACTTGGCTGTCACCTTCTGCTGGCATCCTTAGTCTCAGCAGGCGTCCATGAAGGGGTGTCAGGGCCACAGTCTCTTCCTGATGGGTTCGCTTGCTGAGAACTGTGGTGTAAACCACAGAAAATAGAAGGTGTTACCGTGAAGTTACTCAAGACAAGCTTTTTGCTCTTTAAATTGTGCTCTGCAGGTTGTTACTGATGTCGTAGTTATCAAACCAAAATAGTAAATTCAGTTGACGTGAAATCAGATTTGAGTGTTAAAGTTACATGCATTTAATAGTAAAAGTTGCAAAGTTGAAAAAAGTTGTAAATGCAGACAGTTTATATTTTGACAGTATAAAAGTTTATCCAGGAATCTCAAAACATACTTGGTATATAATTTAAAGGTCTAAAATTTTGAAATACATTTAGTAGAAATTTGTGGGATTTTGTTCCCTTTTCTGCAGCGTAGCATCCAGCCTCAGTCATCACCTTACTTCCTTTCGTAGCTGGTCGCCTGCTTAGTTTGGGCTAGTGACCAGGGGACCTGTCTCTCCAGCCAAGGTGTGTGTGTGTGTGTGTGTGTGTGTGAGTGTGACAGAGGCAGAGCATCCGCTGCTTATTCCCTGGAGTCGTGTGTGTGTGTGTGTGTGTGTGTGTGTGTGTGTGTGTGTGACAGGCAGAGCGTCCGCTGCTTATTCCCTGGAGTCTCCATCTGGAGCAGAATAGCTGACACTGAAAACGGTCAGAGATGGAAGTTCAGCTGCAGACAGGATGGGTTTGTGTTTGCAGAGCTGTCACATCCGCACCCTGGGGTCTTCACACCGTCCTGGGAGTTTTAATACCCCTGTTCCACAGCAAATTAAAATACACAATTATCTTATATTCCAGAACAGGAGCCACAGAATATTACTGTGGAGTTCCACGCACTAGTGCACGTGATTGTAACGATTAACGTGTTCATGAAAAACTTCTCGGGAGTCGTGTGTGTGTGACGTGGGTCCAGGGAGGGTGCTTCCCGTGCCGAGTCTCAGCCCCGCGGAGGTGCCCTGGGAGTAGCTCCTCATTGTAAGATCCCATCTCCTGCACGAGGAGTTCCCAGGGTCCCGGGGGGTTGCTTAGAAGCGTACAGCGTCACTCCTTGGGAAACAAGAGCCCGGTGGGAAGGGGTCTGCCTTACTTATTTAATAAGATCGCTGTAAGGACCAAAGCATCCGACTCGTGTTAGGTCTCCCTGCACTGCTCCTGCTGGGCTGGTGGAAACGGGGGGTTAATCCAACGTCAGAATCGCCTGGAGCCCCCGGGAGCTGTGAAGCCTCAGATCTCCCCAGGCGCCCACTAGGAGGACGCGGACAGGTGACCACAGGGCTAGGAGGCTTCTCTGGGCGGGTCGCAGGCGGAGCCAGACCTCCGCCGGTTCCGCCGCGCTGTGAATCCGTTTCTCAGCCTCCGCTCGTGTTTGCACATGCGACCCCCAGGGGGCGCTAACGCTCTGTGTCACCGCCGGAGGCTGAGTCCAGGCCAGGCGGCCTTTCCTCTAGGAGTGTGAGGTCTGCTGTCCCGGGCTGAGGGCACCGAGCGGGACCAGCGGCTCTGAGTCCCTTTCTTCACGCGAACTAGGTTAACAGCGTCCAGACTACGTCGTGGCCCACGCACACGTGCACACAGGCACGCGCAGGCGTCTGGAGGTCAGGAACTCGCCCTCCTGTGACACGAGGGGACACCGCCCAGCTGCACCAGCCCGGCCCCCGTCCCTCCCAGTCAGTCAGTACGCACGTTTGCTCGTGAACTGTCTTCTAGTTTCAAGGATGCTCTGCAGACAGATTGAGCCGAGGAAAGGGGTGCCGTGGCTGCTGCAGGGGGGCCTGTGGTCGCCGCCCAGTAACCCCCAGGGATGCGGAAGCAGCAAGTTCACTCTTCACCACCCAGCCGGGCCCCGAGGCTGCGAACCGCGCGCTCCAGGCCTGCTTGGTCCCGGGGCTCGCGGTGGTAGACGTGAGCTGGGAGCTGATGGAGTCCTGGTCATCTGCCTGGCCCGAGGGCCCGACGCCCCGACGCCCGTCCTCAGGTAGAGGAGGAGCCCGCCCCAGCCTCGACCTGCCTCCCTCTCCTCAGAATCCCTGTGTCGGTCACAGGCCAGTGCTGAGTCCAGCACGGCTGTACTCAGAGCACCAGAGCGTCAGATGGGGCCTTTGGCCTTGAATCTCCAGCTCGGAGCGTCCGCTCTGCCCCTAAGTGGGACCAGCCTGCTGTGTGCTTCCACCTCGGCAGCTGTTTACACGTGTTCTGCCTGACCTTGGATGCCTGTGTCGTCGCGACACAGCAGGGGCAGAGCCTCTGAGAACGCGGCCTCACGTGGGAGCAGCAGGATGGCCGGCAGTCCCGGGTCTCACGAGTTTCTTTTAAACGTGTTCCAGCAAACGGATGCTTTTGTTTCCACAGTTAACATTTAAGTTTATGTTTCAAAGTACAGTTCTCAGTCTAGAGATGCCAACATTTTCCCCCTACATTTTCTACAGTGAAACTAGAAGGAAGGCTAATAACTGGAATTGAATCTACGTGCATTGCAAGCACCAGTGAAGGCTGAGGACAGGGCTGCTGGGACACACGGTACCTGTGACACGTCCATCGGGGGTGCCGGGCATCCAACCTGAATCGTGGTTTCGTGAAACGAGCAGGAATTCAGGGAGAGAGTCCCAGAGCGCAGGCCACGGCCCATTGTTCTAGCAAATGAGAAGCTGAGGTCGTGGGCTCTGGGGCTGCAGAGCCGCCAACTCCCCGTCGTCTTAGTTGCCCAGGAGTTTTCACAACAGTGACAGGCCAGGTGATTTATGACCAACCCTAAAAGAGAAGATGTGATCTGGAATTTTCCCAAGATTCAACTCAAAAACAATAATAAGGTAAAGGTTGGTTTGGTTGACTGTGTCACAATAAAAGGGCTAGAACTTGGGAGTTTACGTGTCAGTTGATGTAGGTAACAACCCAGACTGCAATTTTAGGAGAAGACAAAGCTCTTCCATGAGAACACATGAAAAGTTAGCTTATCTTTGCTTTTTTTCACTTATTGGCTTGCCTGTGTTTTTTTTTACTTGTTTCCGAGTCTTTGTTGAAAACATCAGCACTTTTAAGAAGACATCTTCACTTATTGCTCAGGCGGCTGCGCTCCCCAGCCCTTGAAGACGGCCTGCCGTTTCTGGAAGCTCCTGGCCGTTCCACTGCAGCCTCTCCTTCAGCACCACCGGCGGGGTCCACGGCCACCTCTGGGAGGGCGTGGCAGAAAGCCAGCCAGATTGGCGCTGAGCCAGAGGGGACCGCGTTAGGAACGGATGCGTCCTAAGCGTTTATCCTGCGCACCTTGTAGAGTTTAACAAGGCCCGTGAGCAGAGCCGCCGCCGACCTGGATGAGGTGCCTCTTCCCCACCTGGGGCGCCGCCGTGTGGCCCTCAGAACTGGACTCCGGGGTTCAGGGGGACCCGCAGAGCTGCCCTGCTGGCCCAGCCCCTCGGGCCCCGGGGCCTGCCTACCCATCACCAGGGATATGCTGGAGGTGCCCGGGCATCACCTGCCTCCGCAGCCAGACCCCGCCCACAGGCCCTGGCCCACGAAAGCCTCCGCTGTCCTGCCCGGGGCTCCCTGCTTTGTCCTAACCAAGGACGCCCCCCACCACCACGAGGCTGCCCCTCCCAAGAGGGGCACACCCCATCTCAGGAGCCGCTTGCCCTCAGACCGGTAAGTTCCCTCCTCGGACGGTCCGGCTGCCGTAAGATCATCTCCCTTCAAATACCGGCCTGCTCTGGGAGCGCCATCAAATCGTTGCAGTGCTGCCTCCACCCCGTGGGCCCTTCATCCCCGGCCTCACTCTCACGCGAGGCACCAAATCCAGCCCCCTGGCCGCCTTGGAGCCTCAGCAGCCGGACTACAAGCGTTTACCACTTTCCCATCCACTTCCTCTCAAGTCCTGGCTGGAGACACACGTGTCCAAGGCTCCAGGGCAAAGCATCAGAGAAGCAGGAGGCGCCTCCCCGGAGTTGAGGATGCGAGGCTTGTGCCCCGAGGCCGCCCCGGGGGAATGGTGCCCTTCTCCAAGCAGCTCAGCTGACACACAGCTCTCACTTGTACTGCAACAGTTGTGGAGAATTTTGCAGGGAAATTACAGAAAATAATTCAAGTTTTAGCAACTGTCTTAGTTTCTCTGCAGAACAAACACTGCAGTGTAACCGCTGAAAACAGGGCCGGGCTCTCCTCTCAGGTCTCAAGGCTGAAGTCGCAGCCCCACTGTGCCTCGTCCGGGCCACGGGGTCCCCTGCCGAGTGCACGGGGCTGTCAGCAGATTCGGGTTCCCTGGCCTCACCTGCTGCCTCCTCAGGCCTCCCTGGGGCCTCTCCTGAGGAGGTCAGGCCGCCCCGGGGTATCCCCCAGATGGAACAGGACCCTTCCTTGATTCTGCAAACCCCTTCACCGGCTCAGGCAGCCTCAGCCCGAGGGCAATGGGCCGGCCCGGGGAAGGCGTCAGGGCCGGGCCAGGTTCCCCGCCACTGACCCTCCTTTGAGTCAAGTGGAAATCATAACTGTCATTGTATTTGGCTTGCTTTTCAGAAAATTAAATGACAGTTTTTGGAAACGTTTCTGATTTCAAGGTTTACGTGCCCTGTGGTTTAGGAGCGTAGCGAGCATTTTTAGCGCATTTCTGCCAAGTTCAACTCTGAAGAAAAAAATCCCACTTACAGTCAAGTAAGCCATGGCTTACAGTAGAACAACTGTAAGGAAACTCGGTGGCCCTGTAGATAATGTTCCTTTCCTGCAGCGCCTAGCTGGGGAGGCTTGGAGGAGGTGGGCATCCGTCCAGCGCCCGTACCTGTGCCCGTACCTCCGCCCGTACCTGCGCCTGTACCTGTGCCCGTACCTGCGCCCGTACCTGCGCCCATACCTGTGCCGGGTGTCCGCAGTGCCCTGCTGCTCCCGTGAAGCCCGGACGCTCAAGGCCCCGCGTCCAGGAAGGGGAAGAACCAGGGGCTCCTGGCTGAGGATGCTCTCTGGGCGGGATGTGGCCCGTGTTCGTGAGAAGGTGGACGCTGGCGAGAAGGAGGTGCTGAGGGGTCTCGGGCGGGAGGAGCAGCACCAGGGAAGAGGCCACATGAGGAGGCCTGGGGGGCAGTTCGCCCACAAGTCTGCACGACCCCAGCCAAGGGCGCCCTGCGGCACCAGGCTCAGCGCAGGCGTCACCCCGTGAGGAGCTCAAACACTAACGTCAAGGCCAGAGTGCTGTCCACCCTGAGTCGGGGGTGTGGCCAGGGCTGACCTGTGGCCTAGGAGCTCCGGGACGGTCCCCATGAGGAGAAATGAGGCAGGAGCCCCATTTCCTGCCGGCACAGTTGTTGCTGCTCTTGGGTTGGGCCTTTATGTGGCTGTCCCACCTCCATGGACACCTCACGGAGGCCCCCGGGGGCACTGCCTCGGGCCACCCACGCAGGGTCCCAGAGGGTGTTAACAGCCCAGCAGGTTCTGGCTCATCTGTGAACTGGCTCTGCACCCCACAGGCACTAAGTCTGCTTCTTCCAATGGCATCTCTTCACTTCGCCTTGTTTTACATCATTTTGCATGAAATCCCTTTAACAACCTGCAAAGCCTTTCCTTGCACATACAGAAAAAGTCTCACCATCAAAGGCTCATGGGGGGAAGCTCAGGACCTTGGGACCTGAGGGGGGTCTCAGGCCCCCTGTGACGTTCCTCTTGTGTTCTCATCCTGCTTGGCTACAAGTCCGTGGAGAGTCCAGCAGGCCTAGCACGCGGCAGACCCCAAAATGCTTCTTGAACTGAGAAAAGCGTTGGTTATTTAGTTCAACCCTGGTTTTCCGTAGATGCTGCCGGGTTCTTTGCTGGGAGCAGTTTGAAGGGAACAGAACCAGCTCACGTGGTCCGTTGGTACCAGATGGAGGGGGTAGTGGACCCCTGAGAAGCTAAACCCACTGCAGTCCCAGGGCCAGAGCGTAACCGGGTGTTAAATCTGGACTCTGCAGGGTCATCTTTTCATGTCAGCCCACGGCAGGGGAGCTGAGGAATTCCATCACAGCCTCTCGAAAGGAAAACAGGTCCGTAAGTTCGATTTGTCAACCCCCTTTAAAAACCGTGGTCTGTTAAGCGGCCCGAGCACGCTGTCATGTGGCATTAATTTAGAGCATCGAGCTCTGTAATTGACCTGCACTTTATCGCACGGCCCGACAACGCCCACCCTCCTGAGCTGCAAATATTTTAGAATCCATTCCAGAAAGTCACTCCCCAGATTCTGGGTACAACTGCTATTGATTTGATTGCATCACCGGAGTGAATGGAATAGCGTGAACACTTAATAAGTTTCCCATGGTTTGGCATCACAGGAGCCCCTAACTGGGCTTGTAGCAGGAAAGGCTGGGAAGATGCAGTGTTGGGAAACTGTCCTCTCCGTGGTCTCCCCGGACGGCTCCCCAGAAGACGCAGATCTCCTGGGAGCGCACGGTCCGTCAGGATGGCCGCCAGTCAGGACCAGACACGCCTCCAGGCCACGGGGGGCTGGTTGTACAGGATGACGTCCCAGGTGCAGAGTCTGGCCTTTGCGGGAGAGGGTCAAGTCACTCCTCTGGACTGTCTGAGATCCTGATCCAGAGGGAGAAGTCCCGCCCCCACTGCCGAGGCTGGCCCTGAAGCCGGGCTGTCACTCACGGTGAGCTCGCCGGACTCGCAGAAGACGCCAGGGCCCCGGCCAGGCGTGAAGCTGCATTTCAGCCCCAGCAGAGCCCTCGTGTGGGCCTGAGTGAGGGCACCGGCCACGCTGCCAAATAAAAAATGCTATTATTTATTTTAAGATTCAGGGCTTGTGTCGTTATTTCCGTGTCCTCCCCAGGCACCTGGAGTAGGTGTCCAGCAAATAGTTACTAAAGAAGCAAAGAGATTCCTCCAATGTGTTTTCTGGATAATTCTACAGAAGCATGACGTCTACGGCAAAAAAAAAAAATGTTTGCGCTGAACTATAAATTCAAAAGGGTGTTTTAGCAAACGCAATGGCATGAAAATTCGAAAAAATGATTTTTTTCCACCAAGACAGACATGTTTGGCACTAAAGCCCATATTTCGGGAATGCAAAACGGCCACGGTATTGACTCCCATGACAACTGAGTGGGTTTTGAGAGCTCGAGGTTGTACCTTAAAGTACGTGTTACTTCAGCCGTCTGCAGGTGCGTTGTACTTAATTCATTAAAGATGCACTTCAGAGTCATTTTGAAAATATTACCTCATCGATGTGAGCAAAGTGTTGCCAGGAAGTGTGACCTGCACAGTCATGAACCCACCCGGCCGGTAAGACTCAAGCGTCACCTGTGGTTTCTTCAAGTTCCCCCGAGACCCAGGCGGACTGGCCTTTTGAGTAAAAACAGCCATCAGCTCATCTGTGACCACCGATTTCTGAACTAACTGGTCCCCCATCTCAGCTCTGAGTCCCTCCTGTTTTACTCTTCTTTTATTTTTGCCAAATCTCTGTTAGAAAAGAATACCACAGTTATAGTTTGTAAATCTGTATTTGTGGATACATAAATATTTTATTCTATTTGGCTATAATTTTCATATAGAGAAAAATATTCTAAATACTTAAATTTGAATTATATTTTGATATTTCTAAGGGATGAATTGGAAGGCAAACTGGAGAATTTCACTTTTCTCAAGCTTACCTTTTCCGAGACAGATGAGAGCACGGGGAGGTGACTCAGGAAGCAGTGACTCCTTTGCAAAAGGAAAAAGCGATTATTCTAAGAAACTAGAACGCCATCTTTGTGAAAAATTTCGGACCAAATTATCTCCTGCACTTCCAGGCTCTAGCTGAAATCTGCTCTACAAATAGAAATGTCTTAATGTTTTTAAAAATTATGAATAAAATGCAAATACTGTCACACTTCTAATTGTTACTAATCATTCACGCTCAGTGTGAATTTGTTTCACATCAGCGCTGCGAGCTCTAGGGCCTGGGAAAGGTTCCTACTGTCTGGAGCAGTGTGTTGCTTTGCCGTGAAGTTAATGCAAAGTTAAGCCCTTCGGTCCATTTCCCTGCGCTGTACTGAGTGTCTGGGAGGACAGCCCCACGCCTATGAGCTGCCCTAACCAACTACCCATGGTCCTGCTCTCTTCACACTAGGAGGCTCTGTCCTGGCTCTGCAACTGGGGGAGGGACCTGCAGGGTCAGTGAGGAACTGGGGGTACGCCTGGGAGTGCTGGTGTCTGTCTGCCTGGTCTCATCAGCCCGAATCGCACGCACCTGAGCCCACCTGGGAGCAGGGCCGGGGGGACATCCCCGAGAAGGCGTGGGCTGACCCTGCCCCATGCAGCGCTGAGCACAGTGATGCAGGTGAACGTGTGTCCTCGCGTCAGATTCATAGTGAGTGAAACACGCACTGTGTGTACAAGTGCTTGTCACCTGAGCCAGGTGACTTTTCTCTTGGCAAAATCATATTTGTAAAATATATATTATAAAAATATACGAATATATACATGTATATGTGAACTGAAAAAAATGCACATCCTAAAAGTTGAGAATGATGTTTATTTGGCGGACAAAACTGAGGACTTAAGCCCAGGACGCAGCCTGTCAGTAGCGCTGAGGGACCGCTGTGCAGAGGTCGGGGAGGAACGAGGATCTACAGGGGTTTTTGCCACAAAGATCAGGTAGTTGGAACACTGAAAGATTACTGTTAATTAAAGAAAACCAGACATCCCAGGTTAAGGAATTTAGTGCTTTTCTATGCATGGGAAGATGCAAGAGTCTGGGCTCACTGGAATCGTTCCTCTGATCCGCACCTCAGCTACCTGGGGCCAGGATCCTGTGATTTCCCATCCCGAGTCCCTGCAGGGGGCCCCGTCCAGGCGGCTGTAATGGCGGATGGCTTGATGGCCGCAGCATCCTTTGCTTACTGACGTGGCAGCAACGTTTTTTTTTTTTTTTTTTTTTTTGCGGTACGCGGGCCTCTCACTGTTGTGGCCTCTCCCGTTGCGGAGCACAGGCTCCGAACGCGCAGG